CATCAAGGTATCTGTCCATGAACTGAAGCTCAAGATAAAGTAGGCCATACAGCAAGACCCATGACCCAAAACACACAAGTTGTACAACCAAAGAATGATTAAAGCAGAAGAAAGTTAATATTTTGGAATGGCCAAGTCAAAGTCCTGACTTTAACCCTATAGAAATGTTGTGGAAGGACCTGAAATGGGCAGTTTGTGCAAGGAAACCCACCAACATCCCTGAGTTGAAGCTGTTCTGTATGGAGGAACGGGTTAAAATTCTTCGAAACTGATGTGCAGGACTGGTCAGAAATGTTTAGTTGTAGTTATTGCTGCCCAAGGTGGGGGGGGGGGGCGCGACACCAGTTACTGAGAGCAAACGTTCATATACTTTTGCCACACACCAATATGTAGCTTTGGATCATTTTCCTCAATAAATCAATGAACAAGTATAGCATTTTGACTCATATGTTTAATTAGGTTCTCTTTATCTAGTTTCAGGGCTTGTGTGGGGAATAGATCACATTTTTAGGTCATCTTTATGCAGAAATACTGAAAATTCAAAAGGGTTCACAAACTTTTAAGCAGCACTGTATATGTTAGCCCTCATGGGTTTACTAGTAAAAATAAGTCACTGATTTTTTTTTTCCTTCCAAAACTGCACCTTTTAAAAATAGAAATAATTTTGACATTATTTCTGGAGAATTTGTGAACAACACACGATTTTTTTTTTACTGGCATCTTTTTGAAAATAAGGATGGTATTTGCCCTACTCTAGTCATCTGGTCCTTCACAAATTTCTCAAGGACTACATGAAGGTTCAGCCAAACCATCAGTTCCACTGGCACTTTAAATTCATTCAGCTCAGAAGACTGAAATTCATTTTAAGTAAGGAAGTACTTTCTGACTTTGACTCTATCCATCTCAAACTTCAATCCTGTCCCTCTGTCCTGCTCTACAAATGATCTATTAACACACATATCTTCTCATTAGAGAAGCCTGAGCCAAAGCAGAAAGTGTGCTGTTCCATCGTTTCTTTCTTGGCCTGCTGCCATCTCTTTTGAGCAACTGTTGTTCTCAACAGTTTTTATCTTCCATTTTATTTTAAATGTATCTGAAGAACCTCAGTTTATTCTGAGATTTAGTCTGCCTGATATCCTGTCTATAATTCTGAATTATCTCAGTGTACTCCTCCTTGAAAATCTGTAGTTCTTTTCACCTCCTGAATCTTTATTTTCATTCAGCTTCATGTAGTTATAATGGTTTCTTCTGCTATCGTCTATTTTTACCTCACTGAAATTATCTCTCCCAGTTAGCTCTTTTTTTCCATAAGCCTCTCCTGCCATGAAATCTTAGTATCTTTAGTTTATTAAAAAAAAAATTATTAAAATGTCCAAAATAATGCATTCAGCTAGATTTAGTTTGATTTTCCCTGAAATCAAGAGCTCTTACCTTTGCATGATCACTATCCCCCAATGCTCTTGCTACATTTACTTCATTGACTAAGTCTTCCCTTAGTGAAGGATAGCTGATCCTCTTGTGTCTTCCTTCAATCTCTGAAGGAGAAAATTGTTAACAAGAAAGGTCAGGAATTCCTGGAAGGACCACACTTGGCAGAGCTTCTCTCCCAAGTTATAATCCCCCAATCACTACAACTTAACACATCACTGAAAGTCTGCAGTTTGTTTTTGGAAAACATAATCCCCTTCTGCTTGGTTCCATGGGCCCACGGTAGACATTATCAACAGTGTTGCTTCTATTTGTTCTTCTATCTACAGTATCACCATGTTCATCCTATTGGATTTCTGAATGAATACTTTTAATGCACAGTGGAACTTCTACTTCATTTCCATTACTTTTATTTGGGGGGGAGGTGTCTTTCAATTATGCCAATCATAGCCCCAGTTACAGAAAAACTTCTTTCTAAACACACAAGTCTTTATTTTAGGTCTTTACTTCAGAAGTTTCATTCACAAACCAATCTGTTCCTCATACTAAGGAATCATCAACCACTACAACTCTCCTCTTTGCCATTTTGCAGAGCACAGCTGCATCCCATCTCTTCTTTGGAGATTAATTCCCTGTCTCCTATTCCACAGCCTTTTTCTTTCCTTAATGGCTCAGAGACTTGTTTCTTCTTCAGGGACCTTTTGTGTTCTACAACTGCTCAAACTCCCTGGCTACCAGATTTTGCATTTTTAAAAAATTATCATATTTTGATCACATTTCATCTGGGTTTCACCAAATAATGACATGTTCATAGAGGTGATGCAGGGCTTTATATTACCACATTTCATGTTCCTGAAATATATATCTTGCATTCTGAGTAGTACAATGTAATATAATGTTCAGTGCAATACACACACACACACACATCTCAGTTCACACTTAACAGAACAACTCCTATGGTTCCCTAACATATCCAAATTTCAGCAAAACATTTGATAAATCATTCCATTATATTATGATTTCTAAGTTAATCAGATATGGACTGGGTGGAATATCTATTAGATAAATCCACAGCAAGTACATCTCATTGGACTGAGGTATCAAAAGTGCAAGACTGCAGCATTCAGTCCTGGGCCCAGAACTCTTCTGTCTTTTTTTAAATGACTTTGATGAAGCAATTCAAGTAACTGTTTATCAAATTCACAAAAGATAAAATGGGGTAGATCTCAGAAAATTCAACATGTTCTCAACAGGTCGGCAATGAAAATTTCTTAAAAGATATTTAGAAAGCAAATTAAAATTTCTTCATTTCAGAAAAAGAAATTGAATGTTCAGGAACCCAGCAGGTGATACCTCACTTAGCAATATCATATGTGAAAAGGATCTTGGATTTTTAGTTGTTGATTGATTCAGTATCAGTCAGCAGTAGGGTGTGCCTGCTAAAAAACGTACATAGTTTCCAAATCATGAGAACTGTGGTCAGTTCTAAATACCATTCTTAAAAGAGATTTATAAAAATGGAACAGGTAAAAAGAACAGCAATATGGATAATCAAGAACTAGAAACCAGTATCATAAACAGAGGGAACTTAGTATGTGTATCCTTGTGAAAAAGCAGCATTACCAAGGTATGTGAACAAGTTTCACACAAAAGAGCAAGATCCATTTCCTATTGTTCCAGAGTACAGGGCATTAAATACTGTGAATGGATTTAGAGTGTAGAATGGGAGATTCTGATTGAATATTAGGAAAGGCTGTCTATAAATAAGAGCAACTCAATGCTGGAACTAATTACTTTGGGAACTGGTAGCCTCTCATTGATTGGATAAGTTCAAGGAGATCCTGGACAGAGTTTTTTTAATTTGGATTCCTGTAATAGCAGGGGAGTGGCCTAAATGGCCCTATAATTCTATCTTGGCATATACTCTTTTAGTAAAATTGTTGCTTTTCAATAACCAATTGGGAGGATAGTATGTTCCTATTTCTAATGTCAGGGAATGGGATTACTGGGAGGAAGAGAAATCTACATCATTTTTTTGCTCAGGACACAAGGACCTGGTGCGTATGTACTTGTTAGTGAAGTTTAAATGGGATAGTGGGAGTGTGCAATTGGGGGTACCTTAGGCAAAACTGCACTGGAACTACTGCATTTATCTAATTCATGTTAAGGAGAGAAGATGCTGTGTCTTAACTAGAAGATTCAGGACTTTAAAGTTCATAATTTTATACAATTCCATTCAGATTTGTATAAATTTGATTATTTATCTAGAAATCCAGATGGCTCCATCACTCCTGACCTTAAAAAAGGCTTAAAAACTGAACTATTCAGAATAGCATTTATTTAAGAACTGCCACTAATATGCCCATTATTATTATTTCTGGTTACAATAATTTACAAAATGTTTTGACAATTTTAAGGAGTTCATTTCTGTTTCATTCTGGGTTTTTTTGTTAGGAGTTTGGTGTTTTTACTGTATACCACTATTAGTATATATGGAGTGTTGCAGCATCTAATGTAAATAAAACAAGACATAATAAATATTAAAACTATTTGAAAAGAAATATGTGATGGAAAGAGATTTCAAGTTTCTTTTATATAACTTATATATATTTCAGATGGTGTGTCAATCATGTCATTTTTATATATGTCATAATTATATCTATTTTTTTGTTAATTATGTACCATCAAGTCGTTTTTGACTCCTAGCAAACATGTAGATAGATTTTCTCCATTATTACTGCTACCGATAATATACAAGTAATCTGAATCAAAGCAATTACTTATTTTGTCAGAACAAGAAAATTACCTTAAAAATAAGGCAGGACATTAAACTATAGTTTCAATATTGTTTAATATAGGAATGGCAATCTTTCAGCAATCAGGACTGCATTTTTTACATAGGGTAGCAGCTACCTAATACTAACCTGTACTTAATACTATAGCTTGTCCTAAAGCTTCCCCCCATAACTGCAGAAATTAAAGACTGTCTTAATCATGGCTTGTGGAAATTGAGATGCAAAGACCTGTGCATATTTTACCAATACGCCAGGATGAAATCATATGAAATTAAACTAAAGCATTGGAAAGGGGAAAATGATCAGCAGTATATTAACTGACATATAATTTTAACTGCTGGAAAGAAAAATAATTATAATTCATCAAGCAAAACACCAAAAAACTGCAGTAATTAAGTTCAACTATCTCATTCTATGAAAAATGTCCTCTATTTTTCCAAATATATGAATCTGAAAACAAGTTTGGTTCTCTGCATCAGTATCTCATTAGCATTTTATTTATTCTGCACATGTGTCTTTTCATCTAACAATCCAGTACACTGGAAAGGAAACACTGCTAACAAATGTAGCAAACAGCAGTGTGCACTATATCTTTTGATAATATTTTAATTGGATAATGACTACACAATTGTCTGAATGCTAAAATCAATTTGAAGCAGATTGCTTCCAACTGATCCAAATCACTGACATCAAGAAAATATCTGCTTTTGCTTAGACAATTAAATACATAAGAAATATTCATTAAATCAAATAACATTACAGGTAGTCCTCGCTTACGACTGCTCATTCAGTGACCATTCGAAATTACGATGGTGCTGAAAAAATAACTTTACAGCCAATTTACAATCTTCACAGTGTCCCTCTGTCGCATGATCGCCATTACAGTCAGTATGCATTATCCTGTCCCTGACCTGTGATTTTTTTCTTTTCCCCCCCCATGCAGAGCAGAGAGACGAGAGAAGGATTGCAAGAGAGTAAGCTGTTTGTTCTTCTACACTTCAAGAGCAATGCAATCATGCCAGCAGCCTGGGGCTGGGAGCTGCGGGCATGCTACGCAAACAGCTTACAGTACTGTCTTGAAATCTCTTCCTCTTCAATCTCTCTGCTCTCTACAAGAAGGGTGAGGGAAAAAATAAACAATATCTGTAGGCAATCTCTCCTCTGCTTGACCCTTTCCTGCTGCTGGTGTGATCACATAGCTTTTGATCACATAGCTTGTGTACAAGACAGTAAGCAGGCATTCAAGTATTCCAAAGGGGAGGGAAGTGGTTAGGAGTCAAACAAAAGCCGAAGGTGTGAAACTGAGTAGACTTGTCTCTTACCAGCTGGAAAGCACAGTCGTGGTCACATGATTTCCCACTTAGCGACCACTTTGCTTAGCAGTGGAGTTGCTGGTCCCAGTTAGGGTCGTTAAGCAAGGACTACCTATATACTGTAAATAATCTTCCTAATAAAAGTGAACACATTACAGTATGTGTATTAATCTTAATGGGAAAATGCAAAATACACACCCATAGACAATTTATTATATAAATTACATTAAATGTTTGAATTGGTTGCCATTTTCTTCTAAACACTTCCTTACTTGTTTGACACATGACCTTTGAACATTCCTAAGTACAATATCATTTTCTATGAAAAAAGCAATAAAATTAATAAAATATATTGCAACTGGCCTATGGGGCACACAGCAGCACATGCACACATAATTGTATTTCTGTAAACCTTGAGGTTCCCCAGTACATGCTGGTAATTCCCTCTTGTTACTAAGTGACCCTGTTTAGGCTCCAATTCTATCCATACCCACCAATGAATTCACTTTTAACAAGGAATGATGTAACACAGTCATGGGATTTTTTTCTGTTAACACCTGAATAAGAAAGGAACTGGTAAATCTCTCAAGGTGGGTTCACATCATAATTCAAGGAATCTAAAAATACAGACCATTGAGAAAAGCCTATTCCTATTCAGGTTATATTACGTCTAATAACTAGGCAACAAAGTAATTGGATCAATACTACAGAGCAGTGACTATGAATTTAGTGTCAAGGTACTTGTTTGTAAGACTGTAAGAAAATTACTAAAACACAAAGACATTTTAAAATTTGATGTAGTGCTGATTAGTCGCATGGAAAATCTAATACAAGTATAACTGGAAGCAGTTTTGCAAATCAAGACATTCATTATTAATTTTCCATTACTTGCTCCACTGTTCTTCCAATCTTGCCTACTGCATCAATAAATGCTAAATTTTGATCTCAGGAATCATCTCTGGAATAAGTCAATTACCGTATTCCACAACAAAGTGTGTT